TCGCAGAACTTCTTGCAGCTCGAGACGATATCTCCCTCTTGGTCTCCAAGTCCCTTTCTTGTGTCATCATCGAAGGTGATTCAGAAGTGGTGATTCGTCAGCTTCGCCAGGGCATTTCTTCAGATTCCCTAGGAGGTTCGGTGCTACGTGATTGCTTCCAGCTCCTATCTTCAGTTTCTGTTTCCTTAGAGTTTAGGGCAGTTCCTAGAACTGCTAACGGGGCTGCCCATAGAGTGGCGCTGAAAGCCCTGTTACTTTCTCCTCTTGAGATCGGTTCCTTCAACTTTGTAGGGTGGCTTCACTGATGTATTGGTTTGGGAGGGTTTTGGGGTAGATTGTATAGTTTTTTCTCTCTTGACATTTCTTGAAAAAAAAAAAGATTCTCTTAGTGTTATAACTGAATGTGTGCATGTGGAATTCAAGATATAGCAATATTGGATATACGGGGAGGGCATTACTCATGGGTACCCGAAAATCATGGGTATGAGGTTGTGAATCCTCCATTACTCACGGGTTCTCTTAGTGTTATAACTGAAGATGTCCATGTTGAATTCAAAGTATAGTGATACTGGATATACGGGGTGAGCATTACTCATTGGAAACAGGGAGGTGAATGATTGACAGGATCCAGTCTCTTTCTCATCCCTACTTGTGCGATTACATTAGGTCGATTGCAAATTTGTGGTGGAGAAGTTGAAGAGGAAAGAGTAGTCTGATTTGGAGATAGGAAGAGTATCTAAAGAGTTGCGCCAGGAAATAGAGGAAATGGGTAACTTTAGTTGTTGTTTTTGGGCAAGGAAGTAAATGAGGCGACTGACATTATAACCAGAGTCGAGTGTGAGGGGATAAAACTGAGTTCTAGGATGAAAATCCACCTTTTTTTTGCAATTTATAAAGTAAAGAGTATGTAACACGTTAGACAAATTCCACATCGACAAAGCACGAGAGAGATCCACTGTTCATTAGTAAGAATTTGACCTTAACTGACAAGATACATTTTGAAGAAGTTTTTGTTATAACTCTGAAATTAAACGTGCTCAGTGTGTACTACAACAAGGATGTATGAGTTTATAAGAATTCAACTTGAATTACACCCCAATGTAAAAACTGTGAGAATCTGGTCCAAAATTGACAATATCTTAATCGGAACAAAATGGACAATATCTTAATCGGAAAAAAATTTGGATGTTACACTGTAACTTTACGGAGATACTATACTAGATTAATGAAGGATTACAAATGCTTAATAAAAAAACTTTCTTTTAGTAATATGACCCGATTCGACTCGACTAACTCAAAAAGCTTATTGACCGGGATCGGTTAGCTTGACTACCCCATGGAGGGGACTGATTTTCGACACCCCCATCCACAACCGTCCATCTAAATTAGTGGTAATGTAGGGTGAGGATTGAGCAGCCTTTTTGTGCATTAAATCCTTCATTAGCTGGCGTCACCCACATTGGAAAGGGGAAGAAATTTGGGGACTGGGAAAAAACTATTTGACTTTCCCCTTTTGAATTATTTCCCCTTTCGTCTCTCCCACCAGACGACCAACCCTCCCCTTCCATCACCAGCAGCCGGCCATCTCCGACCTACCTCGGCGACAACAACGGAGGTTATTCCTTCCACCGATCGAGAATCATTCTGACAACCAACTCCTTTCCTCTTCCCTTTTGCTCTGTTTCCGTCAACCACCTTCCATCGGCGACACGACTTCGAAGAACTAACGATTTCATGGAACTAGTCTCCGTCCTCCCGAAATCGACAATAGGTGTTGGGTTTTACTCCCTTACATTTTCCTCTTTCTACTCTTCTTTCTATGTTTTTTTAGGTCTTTCTTCTGACTACCCTCCTCACCTTCTCGGCGAAGATGAGGGCCTCCTCCCCTTCCCGACGACGACGACGAAGATCTGGGTTTTCGTGTGGTATTAGTACTAGTTCAATGGTATTTTCATTACCCAGATATGTGTCTTTGAGTTTCTAGGTCTGGATTTTTTCATGTGGTATTAGTACCAGTGTACTGGTATTGATACCGGTGTAATGTTACCACTGCAATGGTAGTTCTACCACTGTCCGAGTTTCTGTTGAACGTTATCAGTGATAAGCTTTTTATTCTCGTGGTGTTTGTACCAGTGAAGTGACATGTCTTACCGGTGTAGTGGTACTTTTTTGCAGGTGCTCGAGGGAGTCAGCAGGTGCAAAGATGTATTGGTAATTCTACCACTACAGTGATAGTTGTCTTACTTATCGAACTCGTATTTCTATAAAATGTTTATTGCGGCTAATATTTGTACCACTTTCAGTGGTAGTTCTGTTTCCAATTAGTTGAAGGTGTGTCTGTCACCGAAGTGGTATATAATATTGTTTATGGCTAGTAAAAGTACCACTCGAATGACGGTTTTGATTCCACATCGTTCTTTGTGTAGTTGTCTTACTTATCGCTAGTTGTTTATTGCGGCTAATATTTGTACCACTTTCAGTGGTAGTTCTGTTTCCAATTAGTTGAAGGCGTGTTTGTCACCGAAGTGGTAAATAATGTTGTTTATGGCTAGTAAAAGTACCACTCGAATGACAGTTTTGATTCCACATCGTTCTTTGTGTAGTTGTCTTACTTATCGCTAGTTGTTTATGGCTAGTTGTCTTACTTATCGCTCTCGTATTTCTATCACTTCAATGATATTTATGATTATTGTCTTCCTACCCAATGACCTCAGGAATGACCATGACGAAGAGGAAACGGTAAAAGTTGAGATAGGCCAAGCTCCTGCCTTGAGTGCGGGTACCAACAAAAAATGGAGTCGTGAGAGCCAGTATAAGGAACAATACGCTAGGGGTCAACTAAGAAATACATCGTCATGGAAATATTGTGGTCTCCACCACTTTTGAAGTTTGGAATTGATTTTATTATTTTTCTTTGTCGTATTATTGGTTAACTTCTTTCAATTTCATGGAAATATCTTTGCTGACGAGTAATGGAATAGAAATGGTCTTCGCACAACTTCTGCGGTAATCATACTACTTCAGTGGTACATATATACTACTGAACTTGTATTATACCACTAGACTGGTATACATATCAATTAACTGGTACTTATACCACTATACTGGTACTTATACCACTGAACTGGTACTAATTAAGACTGTCCTCAATATACCAATACTCATACTTGATCATGAAATATAATTCTGGCACAAGAAACACAATAAACATTTCAATCAATCAACAAAATAGGAACTTTGTATTAGTAGCCAAAAACAGTTTTCCAAAATGGGTTGCAAAATTAGGGAAATGCCAACAACAATGCCAAAAGCAATAAATTATCCTTCGAATGTGAATAAACATAAAGTCTTCAACAAAAAAAATTAAGCCTAAACAGGACATATGGTTACTAGTATCACTCCACTGGTACACATACCACTCCACTGGTACATGTACCAGTCCATTGGTGCGTTTCCTCTGCCGTCGTTTTTCATATGCTCGACGTTAGAGACGGAATCGTCCAGATCATCTTGATGATTTCTGACCGCGTGAAGTGATGAAGTCGATGTCGCAGGAGAGGAGAGTCGAGGGGAACGGAGGGATGGGAGAGGGTCGCCGGAAAGGGAGGCAACGATTTAGGATGAGTTTATTTGTTGCATTGGCTGGATATTTTATTGTTGTTGGCATTTTCCTTTTTTAATAACACATTCTACTCCACAGTTAGTGGTGATACTAATGGGAAGTTGCTGGTTTGTTTACGTATCATATTGGTTGTACATATATTAGTTCAGTGGTACATGTATTAGTTCACTAGTATATCAGTTCAGTGATACATGTACCATTTCAATGGTACTACTCCAAAGTCTATCGAACACTACAATGGCAACATTTATGATGAGTTTCAATTTTGCTAATGGTACAAGTTCAATATATCTAACACTACAAGTGGGTTGTTACATTTTGGTGTTGAAAGTATGGCTTGAATAGTTGCACTCGTACTGGTATCAGGTCAGTGGTACATGTACCAGATCAGTGGTACATGTTCACGGCAGTGCCGACGTCTCCTAGACATTGTAGAGTTGAACTTCGATATAGGGAGCGGTAAGTAACAACCTCCCGCCGCCCTCCATGTTCTTCTTCATCTCGGGTGGGTTTATTTTCGTTGGCCATCAGTCCCTCCTGCATTCGAGAGGAGAGTTCGATCACGTCTTCACCCCCATCATTTGATGCCGCACAAGAGTCGTCGTTCTTGGCATGCCCAGAATCGTCGCGCGGAATGTTGGATCTGTCTTCCCTCTCGGTGTGGCCTTCATCTGTTTGATCTCCGGCGATAACCTTGTGTCTTGTCCTCCGACGGCAAGCAACCCACTCGGTAGGTCAGAGGCGATCCCAGGACGGCGGCGCCTGGAGATAGGAGGATGGTGATGGGGGAAGACGCTGGGGGAGTACGACGGTTGTAGGGATGGAGGCGGCACAAGTGGAAGGCGTGGATGAAGAGGGTGGAGAGGGGTGATGGCGGCGGCGGGAGGAAGAGGAAGATGAAAATGGGGGAGGGTTTTGGTCATTTCAGAGTACATGAGGCTTCTGGTGAAAATGAAATCAAAATGGAAAGGGGTTACAAATGGAGAGAGAAGGAGACGAAAGAAAGACAAAAATGGCAATTAATTGCACATTTGGGGGGTGCTTTTTCCTGGTTCCCCAAGTTCTTTCCCTTTCCAATGTGGGTGAGAGAACCAAAATTACAAGATTAAAAAAAATAAGTTTAATTAATACTTGCCAACGATTGAAAATAAAATTGGCCAGTCATAATGGGGTGTCAAAAAGCCAACCTTTGGGGTAGGCATAGTATCCGACTAATCTTGGGCGATTAGAATGCCTTGAAGATAAATCCAAAACGACAACATAGTAATTGGTTTGGTAATAAATAGCAACTGCCAAACGGGGTCGTCTTTTTACGGAGGGGAATTCCAGGGCAGCGATTTTGTTATCCTCTCAAATATAGGAAACAAAATCGAATCTTTGGGGAAACACAAATGTCACACGAATCATTTAAGTCAACACCATTAATTGACAAAAAAAAACAATTAATTCCCTCAATTAATCAAAGCCGAGTGCGATGTATGTATTCACTTGATTATTACAAATTTACAGCACAGCCCCAAAAAAGAAACGGAAAAAACAATTCCTCTTACGACACAACAACGACTACGAGGATTGTCCACGTCACCCCCACGCGCCATAACTCTCGCGTCGGCGTCAGTCGCTACCCTTTTCCTCTCCTTTTCCTTTCCTCCTTCGTCTTCTTCCCCCAGCCTCTAGTCCTCTACAGCTACCCTCTCTCCTTTAATTATTCTTCTCCCTCCCAACTCGCCAATCCCGCACCACCTTGACGGACGGTAGCCATTGTTGACCACCCTTTATTACACCCTTTTGCTTGCGTGCTCCACCATTCTCTCCAGACAAAGAAACCCAGAATCTATCTCTCCCGAACTCTTCGGAAACCCATTCCAGATCTGTTGCTGACTTTTTTTTTTTGCCGGCCATGGATGCCGACCAGCGGCGGAAGCGGAAGAGAGCCAACCACGGCGGAACCACCAGCGCCTTGAAGCTCATCCTCTCGTTCAGGTCGCTCACTCTCGGCATAATACTGTTCCTCTTCACTCTCTTCTACTTCTCTGGCTCAGATCGGTCTCCCTTCCGGCCGGTCCTCCGGGCCTCGGGTTTTACCCGGGTCCTCCCCGTCCTCCTCACCCAGGACTACTTCGGCGGCGGCGGCAAGTCGCTTCCTCTGGTCATCGAGAGCCGGGTTCTTCTCCCCGACCACCTCCTGCTCGTTCTCTCCAACCGCGTCCGCCGAGGGGAGAGCTTGGAGTGCGTCTACTACCACCAGCTCGGCGACGCCGACCTGCTCGACGAGATGCTCGTGAAACTGGCGATTTCGGCGGACGATTACCAGGAGAGCAAGTCGATTGTGAGGTGCGAGCTCCCGCCTGTGAACTACTCCGCCGCCGTGGATTTGCGCCGCCCCGGCGGCGAGGTTGTGGAAGGGAACTGGATGGCTTCTTCGAGGAGGGCGGCGAATCAGACGGCGGATGAGGAAATTTCCGATTCCGTCCCCGAATGGGGAAAAGTGGTCTACGAGGCGATTCTCGATTGGAACACTGTGGTGGTGTTGGCGAAAGGGCTGAATCTGAAGCCGCGGAGGGAAGTCGATCCGGCCGAATTCAGGTGCCATTTCTCGCTGAGCAACAATTTGAGCAGAGAGGAGAGCTTCGTCTTCACCACCGAAGCCACCGCCGCGGCTCAGGAAGTGGTCCGCTGCTTGCTGCCCAGAAGCATCCGGAAAAACAACACCGCGCTGGCCGAAGGAATCCGCGTCACCGTCAGCCGCGTCGAAGACTCCTCCGCCTCGCAAGCTCTGCCATCGGTGGCGAAAGTGTACAACCCGAAATCCCACGGGATGAGAGGGGAAGGGGAAGGGAAGTACGAGCTCTGCGCCTGCACGATGCTGTGGAACCAGGCGTCGGTTTTGAAGGAATGGGTGATGTACCACTCGTGGCTGGGAGTGGAGCGGTGGTTCATCTACGACAACAACAGCGACGACGGGCTACAAGACGTCGCCGACGAGCTCAACACGCGGAATCACAATGTCTCCAGGCACGTCTGGCCGTGGATCAAAGCGCAGGAGGCAGGGTTCTCGCATTGTGCTCTGAGAGCAAAGTACGAGTGCAAGTGGGTTGGGTTCTTCGACGTCGACGAGTTCTTCTACTTCCCTCGCTACAGTGGCCAAACCCCCTTGCCGGGACAGAACTCGCTCCGCGCCATGGTCTCGAACTACACCGATTCGCCCACGATCGCGGAGGTGAGGACAATGTGCCACAGCTTCGGGCCATCGGGGCTGACAGAACCGCCGAAGCAAGGTGTGACGGTAGGTTACACTTGCAGGCTGCAGGCTCCTGAAAGGCACAAGTCCTTTGTCCGACCGGACCTTCTCGACATGACGCTGCTGAACATTGTGCATCACTTCAAGCTGAGGGAAGGGTACAAGTCGACGAACGTGGCGGAGGGGACGGCGGTGATCAACCACTACAAGTACCAGGTTTGGGACACTTTCAAGGCCAAGTTTTTCAGGAGGGTTTCGACCTATGTGACGAATTGGCAGGACGATCACAACAAAGGGTCCAAGGACAGGGCGCCCGGGCTGGGGACGGAGGCCGTCGAGCCGCCGGATTGGCGGCTGAGGTTCTGTGAGGTTTGGGACACCGGTCTCAAGGACTTTGTGCTGGGTTCTTTCGCTGATGTGGCCACTGGGTTGCTGCCCTGGGAGAGGAGCTCGAGCTCTTCTGCTCGTCGTCGATGATCGGAAGTTCACCACAGGTTTTGGGGTGTCTTGTAAAACAAACACACACAGAGAGAATTGTTCACATATACCAGCAACCGATTCTTTTGCTAAATTGTTTCAATTATTTTCTTCCTTTCCGCCCTGTTTTTGGGGGGCGAATCTCTCTGTGCTTGTTCCTCTACTGACATGCGAATTTTCACACAGTTATTATACAGATGATGTAAAGGGTTGGTTTCAACATATTGAAATGAAATGATTCTTTCGTTCCTTCTTTCGTTTACCCCTATTCAGACAAATGAGAAAGTTAAGGATTGAATGTGGGGATGGATGAGCCTTTTGAAAATTTCGACCGTTGCAATTTGGACAAGGTCGACACACTGTTTCAACAACAGCAAACAATCAATATAGAACTGTGCATTTAAGTAATGTCAGGGTTGGGTTTTGGGAACGCGCCATTTGCATCATGCAAGAAAGAGCCAAGTCAAGAACAACGGACAACAGAACAAGTATATAGAGGCTAAGAATGTATTTATGTATGTACAAATAGGATCGACACGGCCATATATATAATAAAAGCATTAAGGTGCGTACAGATAATCCACAGCAACAGGCAGCACCAGTTGAAGATGGGAAGTGTGGCATATGGACAGACAGAAAGGGTTTGCTTGCGTATTGCATCGCTGGCGAAGCACGAAATAAAACCGAAGCTGCAAAAAATGCCAGGGCCTGTAAACAGAATACTGAAACTGATAAGAACCAAACCAGAACTGTCATCAATGATTTTGCGTGGTATGTAAAACTACAAGGCACAAATTCAAGTTCATGACACTAAGTGATCAGATGTTTGAAGCAAAGCTATTAATACGGAAGTACGGTATTCCCTATACACCACCTAAATGTTTTACTGATTTCAATGGGATTGATAAGTGGTTTCGAGTAAAGGAAACCCTGTAACTGGTCTCACTTATCTATAATTTCTATTATATTGGTACTACAGGCCAAGTATGTACACCTGCTAAAGCACTATCACAGATAATGCCAGCTATAATGAACAAATATTAAAATGAGCTAACAAGTACTCTGGAATCACTCATACTAATGACAATCGGGTTGGATCATATATTCCTTTTTTCCAGAAAGTGCTCTATTTCATTCCCTCTCTCTCTCAAATGCAGAGGGCTCGGTTCAGCAATATGAAAGAACAATGCAACATAATTCTAAAGGCATCAGCATCAAGTACTATAAGACATAGACTTATCCAGAAACATCGTAAAGATGTTAAGAAAACATTATGCCTATAGCCATCTCGAGGGCCATCTATCCCACATCCTAATCTAAAATACGTAGATAATCACGAGATAATGCTACTAAGGTAATGCTTAGGCAGAATGCAGGTGCTTCAGTCCATTCAGAGATACCAAACTGAAGTTACCTTGAGCCCAATGTGGGCCATATAAATGATGTGGGAGGGAAAATAAGTACACCAGTTGATCTCAAACTCTGTCCTGGATCTTCAAGGGGGTTCCACTAATAGTATGTTTTGCAATTGTTGTATCTAGTTTTTCTCCTAGATAAGTAATCCACGCCTGCAGAAACATGAGTAGGGCATATTTATAATAATATAGAAACGACATCTAAATGGGGTGAAAGCCGTAGGTCCCATAGAATGTTGGTTAGTTGCAAACTTGAGAAAGAATGTAAAATTGAAGCAAATGGAGAATGCTGGAGCTAAAGAGGCATGACACAAGAAGAGATGAGATGAGGTGTGGTGTGGGAGAGATGATGTATAACGAAAATAAGGAAGTACACACACCTGATCAGCAGTTGTGAAACCCCTAATCATGTCACCTCCAATAATTACAATTCCTTTGTCTCCAAGAGGCTGCAAAATCACTGCCTGAAGAATTTCAAACACCATCCGGAGTGAAGAGTTAACAAAACCAGAATTCTCGAGGGGCAATGAACAAACATAATTGTTTGCAGGAAACCACAGCAAGCTCACCTGTGTGTTGGAAGGTAAAAATGGCAGCTCTGACCTCCCAGGATACAGAGATAGGTTTGCCAAATAACTCTCTGCACAGGTACCAGCACACAACAGTAACTGACGATATCAAAGAAACTGCATTTCCTAATCAAGCATCGATCTCAGGTCGTGGCAAGGCAAGTCAGAAGCTCAAACAAACCAAAAGAGTATGCTTTATTACTTACGACTACCAGACTTCATAACACCTTGATAAACTGAACCTTCAGTCAACCTGGCAGCATCCACAGCCAGTGCTTCGCCATCAGGAGACTCAGCTGCAACTCCAATTTGCAATATACAAGTACCATCATACACAACCACTAGACACCTGCAGCATGTAACCGACGATAGAGACTCCCATGCCCTGGAAACATCAAAATCCATTAATGCTCCGAACTGGAAAAAAAAGCCTGGAAACAAAGAGCAAGAAAACCCCTTTTGCTCGTGGAGCAGTACCATAACAACTCTGCAATTAAAGGGTCAGGTAAGTGGGAAGATATCATCCGACATTCCACACCTAGCGGATTCACCTGGAGAAATACTCAACCAAGAGAACAAGATCACTTAGCCGCAAGTGATTTCAACAAAGGGAAAGCAGCTATGGACCAACATTTCAAAACACAGTCTTAAGAATCTCACCACAGAGATAGACTTTGGCTTGATTGTCAGCCATACCAGGCCAGTTAGTATACTGGTCACAGCCAACCCAAGTGCCAGTAGATCGGCTCTTGACTGCGAACTGCCAAAATTACCAACATCACATGAAATGACTGAGCCAAGTTACCCTCTACTGTACCAAAGTTTCAGTAGCTTTGCTAAATTTCCTTGGAAACTATTTAGAGATAAAGTCCAACAATGGAATCACAGTTGAAAAATTCGAGAACTTCAACTATGACGGATCTTTAAGAGCCTCACCTACTGGCATCTGCAACTGGGGCTATACCGGAAACGGCGCGATTAACGAGGACGGCGACGAGAGAAGCACCTCCAACGTATATGGGCAAGCTTCTAGCAGTGCTGTCGTTGTTGGAGACCCAATCAGGAACCAAATCTCGCTTCGGCTTCGGCCCCTGATAGCTTTTCTGCAACTGCGTCGGCAATATAGAGAAGAAGAAATCAGAGGGCGTAAATTCCAAAAGCAAGCTTAACAATCGGGACTTCGCTCGAAGCTGAATTACCTGTGGATTGGAGGAAGAAGCCAGAACATCTCTACGGAGACGAGCCCGCTGGAGAAGGTGACGCTGGGAATGGGAACTGAAGCTCCAATAAATGGCACCACGGAGAAGAGTTCCCGCTTCCATTGAACCTCTCATGAGGAAAAACCAATCTGCTTCGCTTTAGTGTTTTAGACTTTAGACAACTTGGGTTCAGCATTGTCGTAATAAGTCTAGTGGGTAATCATTCAACATCCGGATCCGTGGCGCAATGGTAGCGCGTCTGACTCCAGATCAGAAGGTTGCGTGTTCGATTCACGTCGGGTTCAATCCCTGTTCCGGAATTCTTTTTTAGCTGGCTCACCTGGGCCTTAATTTAAGGAAATTAAGCCCGTATTCAACTATCGGGCCCAAGTTCCTCAGTCTGGGTTCTTGATTTAAGGAAATGTTAAATAGTCGTAAATCCGTATTCAATTGGCAGGCCCAAGTTCCTCACTTTAGGCTTTTGAGAATGTCAAGTTGTCAACGCTGCTCTGTGGTGAAAGACTAAAAAATTAAAAATCAAATGTCTGAGCCCAGGTTCGAACTGGGGACCTTTAGTGTGTGAGACTAACGTGATAACCAACTACACCACCCAGACTTATTGTCTAATATCTTCGACGCTGCGTATTTAATAGCTAAAGATAGTTGCTGAATGTTGCCATGAATCCATTAGATCAGTAGCAAAACCCTAACTGCAACATCCAAAATCGTTCTTTGAGCTAGCAGTTTACAACTTCATGGGATAAAGCAGGGGGACAATATTTATATCATCATCCGTTGTGGACTGCATGTTTTTTTCTTCTTTTTCTTCAGCACACCCCAATCTTTGATTATGTCAATTATTAAGAAACTATAAACAAAATACACTTTCATGTTTGTGACAAATATAGCCACAACTTTCGAATACACAGAATATCCAATTCCGTCCAATGTTCTAACGGTGTTAATTAACAGTTTGACTAAACTGATGGAATGAGTTGAATTGGCATTATCGAGTCTGCACCTTTACACGTGGATTAACAAAAAAAATTTTAAAAAAGAATCACAATAGATTAAAAATCGACTTGCCTTCCTCTCCATCCCGCAACATTTCACAGCAGCAAAACAATGACTTCTTTTTTTTAAACATTCAACATTTTTGTAAAAACACTTATTTAAAAGCTCTAACCAAAAATTGCATCTATAATAACGGCAGAATGACCAAAATAGGCCATTAAAAATTAAGCAACAAGTATTTGTTGAGGGAAGGAATATGCTATTATGCTCAATTGACGGTAGAGAAGGGGTTTGGCTCTTCCACCATTCCTTTCTCTTGTTCCTGTTTATAATTATATATGGTTATATGCCCCTTTTCTTCTCTCCAATCTCCATATATCTTAGACCATTCTAGAACAAGAATGAGATTGTCAAACCCGCTTATATCATTATACTGGTTTAACAAATCGTATAGTCTGACCGGAGTCTAACTAGTTTATAGTTAGTTATTACAAAATAAATGAAAAAATAAAAGATCATTAACCAAATGAATTGTGCATTTATATCGTCTATCTTAAGACAATCTACCTATAATCTTCATCCATATTTAAATAAATTATTACATTATAAACTAAAAAGAGAAACCATCATAATTTTTTTATCGATTTTGACTGCCGCTTTATATCAACGATTTTCCAACAGGTTTTTAACCAATACAAGTTGAACCCGACTCTACCGACCGACATACGAGTGGTTTGATAACCTCTCTCTGCCTCCCTCCCCGCACCTGTTTTTAAAACGAAATTCATGTCAATATCAACATTGGCTACTCATTGTTACCACCATTGTGTCTCTATAACCAATATAATAATTTGCCCCATACAAAATATAATATACAGCAATCATACCAAAAAAATATGCATATATAATAGTTATCCACTAATTGTTGTTCCAACTCTCAACATCATCCCATCGTAAAAGAAAACAAAAGTGGGGAAATAGTAAAAGTTATCCCCTCCATTGTACACTGTTGCATATCATATACTACTAAATACTAATTGATGCTGATCATAAGATGGATGCTTATATTATAAGGCCTAAGCTGAGCCGGCTACTTCAGTTTCTTTTTAGTTTCTGGTACCTCATTCCTATTGAAATAATGTCTATATTCGGCCCAATTTACCTCAAAAGCTTAAATCTAGACAAACAATTTTACAAAACGAAGTTTCGAAAAGCTGAAAATCAATTTTTTTTTTTAACCAAAGATAATCAGATATATTGATAAAAATGATAGTTACATTCTGGCATGAAGCCAGCCAGTGAAATCAAAACAGCGACTTCCAGCCGGGTACAATAAAAGGGCTTTCCTGGCCACCATATGAGCCACGCGATTGTCATAACATAAAAACAAACATTCCGATTTCTAACTTAACTTATGTCAATTTATCTGAAAATATTAGATTATTCTTATCATTTATAAATTTTTTGTACAAAATAATTTTTTTCAATCATATAATTTCAAAACTACAAAAAATAGAAAAGTATTATCCACCAATAATATATAGTACACTTTTGTGTACTTTTCTCCATTTTAAATTTCCTGCAACGAGAGTGAAAGTAGGAAGGACATTTTTGTCTTTACAATTAAATATTTATCTCACATGAAAAAATATCAACATCAGGATTTGAACCCGAGTCTCTTCAAACAAAGATAACAATCACAACCATTTACACTGAATAAATTTGTTGTGACTTTTTGAATACAAAATATACACAAAGTTCAACTCTCTGAAAATTGCAGGACTTTCCATCATGATTAGCAAGCCCACTAAGTATACCATATGTATTTTTATGGTGCTTGATACTTCAATTTTCATTGTAGAGTTTCATGTACTTTCTCAATTTTAAAATTCTTTCTCTCCCCTTATTTTTGCTAAAGGTAAATTGGTAATTGGCTAACATGGAAAATATTAATTTTGTCACTACGTGTTTTGTCCTTGCATTTTTCAATTTAAATTTTGTGGTTTTTATCTTTGTTGTTATCTCTTTCTAACTTCCTCGAAAATTCCCTCCATCGTACAATAGTTTGCACCCCTTTCACTTCCCAGAACAAGGCCGCCTTTGAAAATCAATCATCCGGTATCTCTTGGCACGCCGGTTTTATTGTTGGGGATTTAAGTTGGGTAAGTAAAAGAGTTTAATAAATAATGGAGTTGCAGAAGGAGGATTAGAAATTGAATTTTTGGTTGAAACATATGTCTCTTGAGATAAAAATTTGGTTGTAAAACGAAGAGTGGTGACTATTGGATCTTTATATTTATGGTTTTTACATCTATCACAACCTATTTCTATCTTAAAACAAGGAATCATTGATTGATTTATTGAAGTAGGTCGATTCATTATTCAACCTATTGGAACTGATAGACAAGGAGTGTTTAATGTTGTGCATTATTACTTTGATTGAGTCTATTAGTATGTTGGAGATAACCCTAATTTTGTCGTTTGCTCTCAAGTTTTGATGGTCCTCTCTTAGCTGAGTTGTTAGTATATAGTTGACTTCAATCAACAACTCTCTATTTCTTTTTGATTAGTGGCATATTATTCATAAAAGGAGCGCATTAAACCTTTATGTAGGATTGTGAGGTTTAAGATTTAGTTTCAAACTATCTATGGGTCGTGTGGAATTTCACTGAGCTTTTATACCCTCTTTCTTGACAATCAACTAACCAATAGCATTTTAATGAGGGCTTAAATATCATTATGAAAATGGAATTAATGATACATTTTATATTCTTAAATGATGATGGTATTTTTTTGAATGTTAGACCTATATATTATTTCTTTCTGTATCATCTTGATCGAAAGATTGTCAATAAAATTAAACCGGTTGATTAGCTTAAACGTAACATAAAAATATAAATAATCAAATATAAATATTCCGGCCAATGGGCCGGGTTATAAGCTAGTTTCATATAAAAGGAATCCAAGAAGATTTTTTTTTTATCTTGAAAAGTTACCCTCCCGTTGAAGTCCTGAAATAACAATGTTAAGGCACTACATTAAATAAGATTTTCTTAATAAAATATCTTACAAATACCATTATCTCAAATTAAGCAATTGAACGGAGAACAAAGTCGCGAACATAGTAATCATATATAATCTAGTACATAATATCATAATCTGAGCCAAAAACAAACTGAGTGCAAGAATATATCGAGTGACGACTCTTATAAGCTAAACATTCGACTATCGCAAGATCATCTCTAGAGTTCTCCTAATACCACTAAATTAAACAAGATGATCACAGTACTTAAATTTTGTTTCCTTAGTTATTGTAAAACATCCGATACTAGGCATATACAGATTCCCCCATTTAATTTCTGGAGATAGGAATAATTAACATAAATAAATATTCCCAGTGAAGTAAAACCTTGTCATTTTGATGAGTGAAAAAAAAAATATCATTCTTTAAACTTTATCCTATTGGCTTAACCAAATCCAACACGGCCACAACAATGAACGTTCTCTGAGTCTCCTTGTTATCCTTTCCTTGTTGGATATTTACAGAAAAAGTTAGTTTCTTGCCCAATGCCAAACCTTTTTTTTTTTTTTTTTATCTTTTATTTTAATTTGGATTTTGGCCCGTTACGACAACTATAAACAACAAAATTCCTGAGAAGAAAACAACCAAACGTACCCTAATTCTTAGACAAGAGGGATGAAAAGAGCCAGATATAATAAATAAAAATCACTCAACTATATTGTATATAACGCTCACGTGAATTATGGTATCTGATCGACAAACAGCCAGCCATCAGCAACAACAACAATATACGTACCAATCCATCATCGGGATGATATTTGATGATACAATCGTATTTGAGACGTTTATTTCCCGTATTAATAAGTGTGATTTATAAGCTTTTTGTTATGCCCTAGCTGATCAGTTGTGCTAGGTAATATATAAGCCCTCGTTTTTATCAGTTGTTGTAAAAGCCGTGTGGCCGATATACGTACCTTATCAATAAAGAAAATGTGTTCCGTTTCTACGTGGAGTAGGTTTTGCACACAATATTGAACTGAATCACATATAACATTAACATTTATCTCTGTTTTATTTTCTCGCTAAT